TGCATAGTTAATGAAAATGGAAGTAAAAATTCCCAAAATTTATGAATTTGTTTAAAACTCGCTTCTTTTAAACACTCACACAAAGAAGCAAGCAATGTATTATTCAATTATTAAAATAAACGCGTAATGCACGGTTTTAACCACTACAGTTTTGTTTCCGCTATTATGCAAATATGATTTTTTTTTATTTCCACTAAATTGAAACATAATCCAAGAAAGAAATAAGAAAATTTATGTTTGAGAAACAATTAAACAGTCTACAAGTAGGATTGATTACAAGTAAACAAACTCCGACTTGTAGTTAACTTAATAACTTTAACAGAAAAACTCACTTCGTATTCTACATGTGAAAAAGTGAAATAAGGACCTATCCCAAAATGAAGTGAAAATCCCACCACTATCATCAAAATTTTAGTTTTGAAGAACTCACCGGACGTTATGTTTCACCAGTAATTTTCCATGATAAAGCTACACTTTAAATAAAATATTGCATTGCATTTGCTCGTGGCTAACACTCTTTCACTTAATTACATCAGTATTTTCCTTACATGTATTATCAGCATTTTTTATGGTAAATAAACTGTTTATACCAAAGTGAAACATTTAAATGCTCTTTCACTAATTTCACTGTTGAATACTGCAACCCGAACCGGCATAAACAATAGACTTCCGGAAAACATTAATGCGAATACAAAGACAACCGACATTAATTAGCTAATGTAGAATTTTCCAGTTCGCATCGTAAACCACGGTGACTAAACAGAACGACTGCTGGCGCTATCGACGAGCGTAAGTATACGGAGAGCTTTTGAAGCAAGATCTTGAAATGAAAATGCGCAACTCGGTTTAAAAATAGTTCGAATAATTGAAAAGAGTAAATATAAATAATTTAATCATGAATTTCTCTCATTGAAAGCCCTTAGGGAAGGACTATGCCAGGTTATTTCAAATCCAATTTGTGTAACTCCCTTACACTCAAAGAAATCATTGCCAGTAACACGTCAAAATGAAAAACACAAAACAATAAATCTGAAAATTATTTACTTATAGAACTTATTGGAAACAATATTAGAAAATATTTTGAGTTTCTGGTACATAAAGGAGTTTTCAAACTTGTTAATTGCCAAAGTTAGCCCCTTACTTAAATCAATAAAGAAACTAAAACTTCCTCTATGCATTACAAATTTAAATAATTTAAAGTAAGACATCAGAATAAAATACTTTGGCTAAAATAGGATAGGAAAGTAAGGTTTAGTTAGTTTTCAGTATGAAAATGTGAAAGAGGGGGTCAAAAATTGGAATTCGATATAAGTAACATAAAATATGTAACCTCTGGTTAGTATTGCTACCTTGGGGATAGTTGTTAAGCTTAGTATAAATAATCATAGATATAACTTCATTTTGATTTGGTCAAGTTGACCGTGTTTATGTTGTTTCTTTTAATGTTTTATTTGTGTCAAGAACTCTTGTTTAGTTGAGAAAGAACGTGTAATTTAATTCTTTTATTCAGAATAAAATCACGTATGAAACAATCTTAGAAATATATCGGATGAAAGTTTGTGAAACTTATTTGTTGTATAAATGCAGGAATTTACTTTTTTGAATCAAACGAGACATTATCCCCGTTGATAATTAGGTTTATGTATTTTATAAGGTTTAATCTAGCAATCTGGCACCAATTAACAAGCGCTAGCGTATAACTTACTTCGAGGACTAGCTTGGTTTATAGGCAACCTCTTTAACATAGCCACTTTAATGTGCAGGACTTTAATTCTTACTTTAATAATTACATAATTTTGTAGTTATCCATTACGGTTTAATCCTTATATAGAACCAGGCTATCGACAAGGTTTTGATCAAATTAAATCACTAAACAAATTAAACATTTTTTACGTTTCAATATCAGGTTCAACTACCCTGTCCAAATTTTTTTTTGTGGTTTTCATTTAAATTGGGTTAATAATTACGTGTTACCATCATAAGTCTTCATCCCAAAGACTGGTTGGACACGCACCTTCGCTTCTTCCTATATCAACCACATGTTCGTATTTTTTGAAAATTATAGCACCTGCATCTCTATTTGCGGATGGTAATTCATGTTTCTGCTTCTAATATGTCTATAATAAGTAGTCCTGAGAAGGTGACCTATTAAAGAAGTCTCTACTATGCCCACGAGTGGTTAATTTAGAAATTCGAAAAAGTTTGTTAAAGGTGTATGTTTAGGGCGCGGCGCTGTACGGGTGCGAAAAATGGACAGTATGCGCAGCGGAAAAGAAAGCGTTCGAAATGTGGTGTTACAGGCGAATGGTGAGGATACCGTGGATAGAAAAGGTTAGAGTCAATAACAAATAGGCGAAATAGGTTAATACGATACCTTCTCAGGCATGAAGGACTAGTTACAGAAGCAGAAACAGGAGTTAGGAGTAGAAATAGACCTAGATTAGATTACTATTCACAAATAGTTGAGGATGTGGGATGTTCTAGTTTTAAGGAAATGCGAAGTTTAGCTCAGGATAGGAAAAAGTGGATGTGCGTTTTAAACCAGTCTTAGGACTGGTGACCTTATGATGGTGATGGGATTAGGGTTCCGTACCACTTTAGCTATGTTATAGGAAAATATAAGACACATAAGGGACAGAATTAAATAAATAGGAATAAGTTGCTCTAAGCACAAGGATATCTTAGCTTCTACGTAGTAGGAATTTCCTAAATTTCTCAATATTTCTGGTTTCCCTGGAAATTTCGTACATCTAATCAAAATTCCTTTATAGATATATTCTTCCTAAAAGTACCCCTTATTATCTACAACTAGGTCTTGTATAGATAATCAATTATATCTTTCTATCACTTTTCTGTCCTAACTAACTCCAAAATATCGGAAATCGGACGCTATATCTAATTGTTTTCCATCCTATTCTCCGGCTTTGCACTACAGTGTAGATTGGAGGATTGACCATTCACTAACATTAATAACTGATAAAAGTGTAGTACCCACAAGTTTTTCAGGTTCTATTAAGGATTAGGGTTCCACATTACAATAGCTAAATTATAGGGCACGATCAGACACTTAATGGATGTAATAAAACAAGTAGATAGTCATTGTATCTAGAGAATTTCTACGTATTTACAAATTTCTCTATAGTTTCAGCTTTCCTGGAAATTCTGTAACTCTAATCAAAATTCCATTACAGGTATGTTCTTCCTAAAAATACCTCTTATTATCTGCAACTAGGTCTAGTACAGATAAAAAACAGTTATATATTTATTAGGGCTTTATTTTATTAAGCTTTAATTCCTAATATGGATATATGTATTTCCGTAAGTATTAAAATTCAATAATTGTGGGATAAGTTATCAGAAATACTAATTATCTTTATTATGATAGAATAATCCTATAAACCAGTATGAACAACATTACATTGCTGATTAATACGAATTTTGCATTTATTTGATGTATTGTACACCTGAGTTTTGAATAGATTTCAATATCAACCTTTACATAATGATAACCCAAGATAAAAATGTTCAGTCCCTCAGAGTCTCTGAAAGTGAGACTCGAGTCTCCGTCTCTCATCCAGTCTCTCTAGTGGCGCTGAGAGAGACTGTCAAAAAAACTGTTTAGCGTCTCTGAACGAAAGACTCGAGTCGCTCATAGAGAGATCCTCATTTCGTATCCACTCTCTGAACGAGAGACTCGAATCTCTGAACGAGACACTCGAATCTCTCAATAAGCGGCGTCTCGATAGACATGGTTTTCTAAGTTCAACATATTTCAGAGATCCCAGTATTTCTACGAGAGACTCGAGTCTCTCAATTTTTCGGTTCTATTCATTCAGTCTCTCTGTGAGAGACTCGAATCTCTGAATTAAGAATTTTATCGTTCGAGTCTCTCATACAGAGACTGTGAGAGATCTATAAAAACACCTAAACTATAACTGAGAGACTGTGAGAGACGCTCTCAGAGATGCTGAAAGACTCTGAGAGACTGGAGAGAGACTGAACATTTTTGTCTAGGGAAGTAACTATTAAAGAAAATGAAAAGAAGGGAAATTATTGAAGAATTTCCTTTCATATAATGTTATTTCAGTACTAAATTTTTAAATGTACTTATCTGGCAGTCATCGTTTACATGGTTAACAGTCGAGTTATTGTCTTTGAACTGTACAATATGAATGTACTATGGTTCGTCATTTACTCATTTAGCGGCCCAGAACATTTTAAAATACCTCTGCTGTACCACAATCAGCAGCGGGCATCTATTTCACTTGAATGAAAAGAGTCAGTGTAATGTGATACTTAATAAAAATAATGATAGTGTTCGTTTCCACTAGCAAATTTCGAACGACTTATTTTCATTCATATATTAAATGGAGTTCTTTGAAACTGCATGAAACACTAAAATCCTAAATTCCACGTAAGATTTCATTTTGGGTGC